TTTAGGGTTTAGGGTTTAGGGTTTAGGTCGTATTCGCTCGCTCAGGTGTGAAACACCCCGAGCCGCTCGCTCTAGCTTAGCTGAGTGACACCCACCCGAGACCCACCCAGACTCAACTCTTTTAGGGTTGTTCCTACCCCCAACCCCCTATCAAGGGGGCTTAGTTGTTTTGTTTTCTTCTTAATGGGGTTTTCAGGGGGCGCAACACCAACCAGGCATTTCGCGTTTGGGGTCGGCCCCTGCCCTCTTGGAGAAGCGTCTTACAGGGAAGGCCCCCTTACACAGGGAGGCCCTTATGGAGGCCCCCCCCTTGCGGAGAGGCCCCCTTACGGGCGGGAGGCCCCTTACGGGCGGGAGGCCCCCTTACAGGCGGGAGGCCTCCTTGCGGGCGGGCGGGAGGCTTGCTTACGGGCCTTACGGGCGGGAGGCCACCTTACGGGCTTACGGGGGGAGGCCCCCTTACGGCCTCACGGGCGGGAGGCTCCCTTAAGGGCCTTAAGGGCGGGAGGCCCCCTTACGGGTGGGAGGAGGCCCGGAGGAGGCCACCCTTCGGGCGGGAGGCCCCCTAAAACTGCGGTTAAAAATGCTATTTTTTAGTATTGAAATCGATGCCTGACAAGCAGGAGGCTCCCTCATGGGCGGGAGGCCCCCTTACGGGCGGCAAGGCCCCTTACGGGCGGGAGGCCCACTAAGTGGCTTGGAGGCCCCCTTACGGGCTTCCTGGTGGGAGGCCCCCGGCCCCCTGACGGGCGGGACACTCCCTTACGGGTGGGAGGCCCCCTAAAAAAGGGGGACCCCAGGTTGTGCCCGTACCCGCTATTTTTTAGTATTGAAATCGATGGTTTTGGGCACCTCTCCATTTTACCCCAAAAGGCACCCTTATGGGCGGGAGGCCCCCCTTATGGATGGGAGCCCCCATTACGGGCGGGAGGCCCGGTTTCCTTGTGGGTGGGAGGCCCCTTTACGGGCGGGAGGCCCTTTACGGGCGGAAGCCCCCTTTACGGCAGACCCCCTTACGGGCGGGAGGCCCCGCTTACGGGCGGGAGGCCCCCTTACGGGCGGGAGGAGCCACCAAAAAGCTCAAAAGGCTTGGAAAGGCGCCTTAAAAAAGGGTGACCCCAGGATTTGCCCGTACACGCAGTTCTCAGTGCTGAACCCTTACGGGCGGGAGGCCGCCTTACGGGCGGGAGGCCCCCTGACGGGATTACGAAGGCCCCTTACGGGAAGGAGGCCCCGTTACGGGCCTCACGGGGAAGCCCCCTTATGGGCGGCCCTTCCGGCTTACGGGCAGGAGACCCCCCCCGCTTACGGGTAAAAGGCCCCCTTACGGGCGCAGGAGGCCCCCTTCACGAGTGAGGCCTTTCTATGGGCGGGAGGCCCCTTACGGGGCGGGAGGCCTGTACGGGCGGGAGGCCCTCTTACAGGCGGAAAACCCCCTTATGGGCCCCCCCCTCCCTTACGGGCGGGAGGCCCTCTTATGCGCGGGAGGCCCCCTTACGGGCGGGAGGCCCCCTTACGGCTACGGGCGGGAGGCCCTCTTACGGGCGGGAGGCCCCCTTACGGGCGGGAGGCCCCCTTACGGGCGGGAGGCCCCCTAAAAAAGGGTAGTTAAACATGCATGTTTTAGTATTGAAATCGATGGTTTTGGGCGCCCCCCTTTGACCCCAGAAGGCACCCTTACGGGTGGGAGGCCCCTTACGGACGGGAGCACCATTATGGGCGGGAGGCCCCCTTACGGGCGGGAGGGTCCTTTCGGGTGGGAGGCCTCCTTACTACGGGTGGGAAGCCCCCTTTGTTATGGGGGGAAGCCCCCCTTACGGGCGGGAGACCCCCCCTTACAGGCGGGAGGCCCCCTGACGGGTGTACGGGCGGGAGGCCCCCTTATGGGCGGAAGGGCCTCCTTACTGGGCAGTAGGCCCCCTAAAAAAGGGGGACCCCAGGATTTGCCCGCACCCGCAACTAAAAAAATGCCATTTTTTTGAAATCGATGGTTTTGGGCACCCCTCCATTTTACCCCAGCAGGCCCCCTTACGGGCGGGAGGCCCCCTTACGGGCGGGATGCCCCCTTGCCCGGGCTCGTAATTTAGTATTGGGAGGAGGCCCGGGCTCGTAATTTAGTATTGGGGCCAAACCCGAAACCCAAAACCCAACACGTCACCAGGCCAAATGGTCTACGCTTTCGGGTTTTGGCTTTATTATTAGAAGAGGATTGCTGGCCGGGCACACTTAATTAGCCTACCTCACTTGGTGGTATGGCTGAGGCCCAGCTCGTAAAGCGTCAGTTCCAGGCCCAAGCTGGAGGCTTAACCCTCCAGCGGCAGCTTGCAAACGTTACCAAATTGCCAAGCCGCTCGCAGCATGGCTGCTCGGGCTCTGCCTAGCTCGGCAGCGACCGCTCGGGCTCTGCTGCACGCTCCAACGAGCCCTCGCTAAGTTTAGAGTTTAGGGTTTAGGGTTTAGGGTTTAGGGTTTAGGGTTTAGGGTTTAGGGTTTAGGGTTTAGGGTTTAGGGTTTAGGGTTTAGGGTTTAGGGTTTAGGGTTTAGGGTTTAGGGTTTAGGGCTGGGTTTAGCATTTAGGGTGTAGGGTTGAGGCTTGATTGAGGGTTGGGGTTTAGGGCTTTGGGGTCTAGGGGGGCTCAGTCTTGCAGGTTTCGGCAGCGACAGGGTTTAGGGCTTCGAATATGTTATTGGCTAGGTTTGCAAGGTGGTGTGTGTTTCTCTTTGCGCATTTTCATGTTTTGCTTCAGCTCGCTGGGACGCCAAAGAAGCTTCGAGAACTAGGGCTGAGGGTTTGGATTTTGGGTTTATAGGACTTGCTATAGGCTGAGGATGCTCAAACTTGTAGAACATTCACCTGAGAAGATTGGCATCAGCTAGTCGAATCTCTCGGACTCTAACCTAACCCTACCCCTAAATCCCGAAGCTAAGCCAAGCGGCGGCTTGGTCAGCGCCAACAAGGCTATGGGCTGAAGCTCAGCGTTGGGGCCATCCCTCCCCATCCCTGAACCCAACCCTCAACCCTAAACCCTAAACCCTAAACCCTAAACCCTAAACCCTAAACCCTAAACCCTAAACCCTAAACCCTAAACCATGATGATTCGGCAAAAACACACAACAACAAGGACTTGCAACGTCCATCCGTCTCGGCACAACTCCGAAATCTCCACCACGTGTGCGAGGTTGCGCCTTTGCAACCACAATTCTAACCTAACGTTCCCCCAATTCAAGGCAACATGGCAGTCATAATAGAGGGGCCTGAATGATTTGAATAGGGTTTTGGGGGGTTATTATGGTATAATTGCAAAGAGACCCTAAGGGAACATGATTCGTATTTATTCCGACCCCTAGATGATTCAACCCGGCTGGAACTGGTGGCCGCATGCCTCCATGTTTGCAGAGGCGGTTGGGCGCTACTTTGTCCACAGTTGTTGCTGGGTTCCTCTAATGCTACGATCTTGCTCTCAAAAAAGGCAGATGGCCGATAGATGTGTCACACAAAAGTTGTCAGTGACGAAGCTAGACAGCCGAAACGACTGCAGCGACACCCGTGAGTATGCCAAGAGCAGCAATTGGAATGATGAAACTTGGCGGGGTCACTGTGGCGTCAAGCACATGCCTGCTGCTGCCCTCGCCATTTGCGCTTTAAGGTGCCCATGGGGCTGGCTGCATCCTAGCAGAATTCGTGAAGGCCACAACGGCTTAACAAGGTTTACGAGGGAAGCCTCGGAATTTGAGGCAGCAAGGATCCCATACCCCTGCCTCTTTCGCTGCACACACAGGAGCAGTGCGTGAAACCGAGTCGCCGCGAGAGCTGGAAGCACTTTACCCCACTTCAGCTCAGGCGGAAGCGCGCCTGTAGCTGTCTTGGGCTCGGGCTTAGGGTTGAGTTTCAGGGGTTTAGGGGTTGAGGATATGGGGTTTAGGGTTTGAGCTCAAGCAGGGCTTGCGGAGGGATTAGGCTTTCGGGTTCAGGGATGCTGTTGAAACCCTAAACCCGGAGTCCTCATAGGCAGCAGAAGATGGGTTCATTTCTACCTCTCTACGACTCTATGCCGGATGAGAGAGGACCATGGTTTAGGGTAGCCCGGTTTCCGATGGGGATGCGTTGCCCTCGAGCATTTCCGAGGGACGACGGGTACTTTGCCATAAGCGTTCCTAAACCCTAAACCCTAAACCCTAAACCCTAAACCCTAAACCCTAAACCCTAAACCCTAAACCCTAAACCCTAAACCCTAAACCAAGCAGGCTCCAAGTCCGAAGATGAATCTTCAGCCGCAGAACCTGGCAACCTTCGAAAACAAACCTGCGATTGTCAACAAAAATGCTGTGACTTGAGCTTCCCATTCACTCCAGATTTCGCTTGTAGGCTGCGTTGTCACAGGTACACCCTTGTTCAATGGATTTCTGAGATCTACAGATCTCGTCGTTCATTTTCATGTTCAATGGCCTCGGGTGCCGTTGAGGGTTTCGGGTACCCTAAATAGGGTTCAGGATTTAGGGTTTAGGGTTTAGAAGTTTAGGGTTTAGGGTTTAGGGTTCAGGGTTTAGGTTCAGGGTTTGGAGTTCAGGGTTTAGGGGGTTTAGGGTTTAGGAAGTTTGGGGTTCTGCCATTTGCCGGAGAACCCGGCCCCCCCCCCCCCTCCACCCAAACAAATCAAGCAAACAAATCAAGCGAACAAGAGAAGAATCAACAAGTACATATCAACGGAAGATTTTCCTGTTTATTTTGGGAGATTCTTCAAGCAAACTTAGCGGGGATTCGCGTTTGGGGCACTCTGGCCGCGATAACTACTATCATCCCTATTAAGGTACTTGAACCCTAAAGTAAACTTGGGGTCGTATACCCTATACTACTACTGTATCATCCCTATTCAGGTGTTTGAAAGCCATAAACCCTTCCATGATTCATTTGGGTCCCAAGGACGGAATCCTTTAGCAGCATTGCAAATCTTGCTCAGCTTCTCCAAGCCTTGTAATTCATGCCTTTCTGGATGCTTTCCTCACTCACTCCAATGAAGGACCACATCTTGGTCAAAGCCTAGCTCCCAAAGCTCTTCTGCAGTGAGCTGTCGCAACACCTCGAGCACCAAAGGGGAATCCGATCGATTCTGCGAGCACGCAGCTTCGTATATCTTCTTCACTGAGCAGCCCCGGACCTTGAGCTCCTGCTGCGAAGCGCCTGCAGCGAAGAGCTGCACTGCCAAGTCCGAAGGCCCAGCATCCGCGGACTGGAGGTCGGCAGGGGACGTTATCTCGAGCAGTTCCGGCAAGGAGAAGCCTGCGTCCTCGAGGTCCCCGACCAGGCAGCCGCGCGCTCTGAAGTCGACCATCTTCATGGAGCCTTTGACCTCCTGTAATACCCGCCTCAGGTCTTGGCCTCCTAGGCCCGAGTCGCGAAGTTGCTGCATGGTCGCGCCCGCCTGGAACAACTCCGAGGCCTTGAAGCCGGCTTCTAGGAGGGGCCGCATTTCTCGCTCTCTTTGCACGAGATGCTTTAGGAAACCCGCCTGTTTCATCTCCGCAGCTGAACCATCTGCCAGGAGCAAAGGCAACACGCGGGACAAGATCATCCTCTGCTCGTGGGAGTCGTTCACTTTTCCAGGCAGCCCTATTCCAGCCAGCCCCTGTCCAGCCAGCCCCTGTCCAGTCAGTCCTTTTCCGGTCTGCAGCCCGAAAAAACAGGAATCCTTGGCGACGTCTCTCAACTGCTGCAGCTGGGACTCCTCAGCCTCAATGTTCTGCTGCAGCTGCTGCGCGCGCTGGAAATCGTTATTCGCATATGCATCATCATAGCTAGCCCGCTTCTGGGCAATGGATGCTCCAAGCTGGCGGACAGCGGACGCACGGGCTTGGAGGTGCTTTATGAGCTCCTGCAGGTCGCAGCACATCTGCACATTGTGCCTCTCCTTGTACCTTGCCAGAATCTGGCGCAGCATGTCCACCCGAGGTCCGAACTCAGGCAGGGCCTCCCGCAACTCCAGCTCTTCGTCTGCGGCCGCCGGGGCTGGCCGCGGGGCTGCCTGTGCTGGGCCTTGCGCTGGGCCTCGCGCAGGGCCTTGCGCCCCTTGTGCAGGGCCTTGCGCAGGGCCTCGGCGCGCGGGGGCCGCTGGGGCTGCTCCTGTGTCTGCACGCTGGGCACCAGGGCCCGCGTTCCGACGCTGTTCCTTGGAGCGCTGGTGCGCGTCGTACTGCCGCTGGAGGCGGTCCAAGTTGTCCTGGGCGAAGCGCACGCCAGCTACCCCGATGATGCGGCCAGCCATGCCAAAGGATCGCTCCAGGTCGAGGCGAGCGACACCTCCAGCCAGGTTTTCATGCGCCAGTCGGTTTCGCTCCTTGTTCAGGAACTGCACAGCAGAGATCAAGAAATCCTCGCTTGCATCCAAGACGCGAAGGTAGTGGTCCATGTGCGCCCTGACATGCTTCAGGGCATAGTACGCGTCGATGGTCTCCGGGGAAATCTCATTCCCAAGTCCATCCTTCTCACAGGGAAGTCCGGCCCGAATTGCCTGCTCATACACAGGCCGCATGGCGAACGTGACATGGGCCAAGACACGCCTCAGGTAGTCTGTGTTGTTCAGCTCCCAAGGGAACTCCAAGTGGAAGAAGTCTTCGGGGCCATCCCCTGTCTTAACCACTGTGGCGGCCGCGGCCATGGCAGCTATAGGTCTGATCTGTGCTGATGAGCTAAAAGGTCTACTGAACTGGGCCGGCCTCTCATGGGAAGGACCGCTAAGAAAGACAGGTGCTGCACAACGGGGTTTCCGATAATGGGGGCGTGGGGGGGGGCGGGGGGATACCCGTTTAGAACACCCAAATAACAAAAACCCGGAAACCCTTATAACAAGGCCCCAATAAGGTACCTCCTAATTTCGGAAACCCTAGACCAACAAGGTACCGACCCCAAACCCTACCCAATCCCCAAAAAGCTTCCCGGCCTCCAACAGCTCGAGCGATGCGGCGATGCGCTTTGGCCTGGCCAAGCAGCATTCTGAACTCTTGGGGTTCTGGAGTATAGGGCAGGGCTTAGGGAACCCCAAACACTGCACCGGGGCCAGCAACGCCAAGCCTTTCCCAGCCTGAATGCTGCATCTCAGCGAGACGCGCCGAGTAAACATATTCGGATGCATACGCTTCCACACCGATGTGGCAGGTTTCCAAACGCAAGATATGCCCTTTGCAAACGCGCGCATGCGCGCGCACCACCCTGCTCCCATAAGGCCACGCCCTCACTGAAAGCATTGTGGAGCTCCTCAGGCAGAGCCGGCAGTGCAGCTTGCCATCACAGCGAATCACAGAGAGGCAATGGAGGGCACTCACAAAAAACCCACAGGGTTTAGGGCTTGAGGTTTTAGGGCCCTTCGCGCCGATTGCCCATCGACCCTACACAAAACCGGTCTGCTGGTCAAACCCTCAACCCTAACCCCTAACCCCTAAACCCTAAACCCTAAACCCTTGGGAAAGTCTGACTCTTGGCCTGCTTAAACCCTTAACCCAAAGCCACAAACTTGAAACCTGAAACCGCACGGGGCCCTAAACCATAAACCCCGTAAACCCTAAACCCTGAACCCTAAACCCCAAACCCCGTAAACCCTAAACCCCCTAAACCCTAAACCCCCTTAATAACCCGCGAGCAACCCTCAACCCAAAGCTCTAGGCCGCTCAACGTCAGGCTTCTTGGGGCTTAGGCCTTCGGGACCGGACACCACAGACGAAAATTCGGGCTTCAGCTTTAGGATTTAGGGTTTAGGGTTTAGGGTGTAGGGTTTAGGGTTTATGGTTTAGGGTTTAGGGTGTAGGGTTTAGAGTTTAGGGTTTAGGGTTTAGGGTTTAGGGTTTCGGGTTTAGGGTTCAGGGTTTAGGGTTTAGGGTTTAGGGGAACACCCCAAAGCACGAAACCCAAGATCACACCCAAAAAACTAAGCCCCATAAGCCCAAAGCAAGAACTACAAACCCCTCCAAACCTTAAACCCCATACGATTTGAGGGGATTCAGGGATGTTGAGGTTCGGGAGCTCGGGAGGTCTAAACCCCAAAACCCTAGATAAACCCTAATTGAACCCTAAACCCTAACCCCTAACCCCTAAACCCTAAACCCTAAACCCTAAACCCTAAACCCTAAGACCTAAACCCTAAACCCTAAACCCTAAACCCTAAACCCTAAACCCTAAACCCTAAACCCTAAACCCTAAACTAAACCCTAAACCCTAAACCCTAAACCCTAAACCCTAAACCCTAAACCCTAAACCCTAAACCCTACCAAACCCTAAACGTGAAACCCATGCTGGGGCCCGGTGCTTTGCGACCGTGCACGCGACTGAACATGACCTGGGCGGCAGGAGCTGCTCGGCTCAGGGTTCAGGGCTCAGGGGGTTCAGGGGTCTATGGTTTAGGGTTTAGGGTCTAGGGTTCAGGGTTTTTAGGGTTTTGGGTTTAGGGCGTAGGGCTTAGGACTTAGGGCTTAGGGCTTAGGGTTGAGAACTTCGGAGGCTGCTTGAAGGTTTAGAAGCTGTGCATGTGCGGCTCAAGGTTCAGAAGAACTTAGGGTGGAAGGTTGCAAAAAGCAGGCTTTGAGGTAGCCCTAAACCCTAAACCCTAAACCCTAAACCCTAAACCCTATCCCCTAAACCCTAAACCCTAAACCCTAGACCCGTAGGCCTGGCTGAGGCCTTTATTATCCTTCACCCTAACGGCCCCCAGATGCCAAACCAAACCCGGCAACCCCACGTGCCAAAACACGCAAAACCCCTGCAACCTGACACCTCCAGAGGGAGGGGAACGCTGATTTGGGGGTTTAGGGCATTTAGGGAGTTTAGAGTGCTTAAGGTGCTTCGGGTGTTCAGGGGGCGTGTAGGGTTGAGAGTTTAGGTTGCACAACGGGGACCTCTCAGGCATACTTGCCACACTATGCGAAGCGCTTTTTGACAAAGAGGTGAGGATTCTGGCCATCCTGTTTCCCTACACTCTGAGCCGGCACTCTGAGCCGGTAGGCCCTGACCAAACGTCATGAACCCGCAACCCTGCACACACACACACACACACACACACACACACACACACACACACACTCCCTGAACCCTGAACCCTGAACCCTGATCCCAAAACCCATGACCACCTTCTGAACCCTCAACCCTCAACCCTCAACCCTCAACCCTCAACCCTCAACCCTCAACCCTAAACCCCTAAACCCTAAACCCGGAAGGCCTCGGCCCTCAGTGCTGAAATCTCCGTGGCATGGCGGCCGTGGCCTGGCAATGAGTTTAGGGTTGAGGGTTTAGGGTTTGGGGCTTAGGGCTTAGGGGTTTAGGGTTTGGGGTTTAGGGTTCGGGGTTTAGGGGTTTAGGGGTTAGGGGTTTAGGGTTTAGGTTTAGGGTTTGAAATTTGAGGTTTGGGGTTTTGTTTTGGGTTTAGGGCTTTGGGCTTAGGGGTCTAGGGGTTTAGGGTTTAGGGTTGAGGGTTGAGGGTTCAGGGTTTAGGGTTTAGGGGGTTGAGGGCTGTGGGGTTACGGCTTCAGGGTTTTGGGCTCAAGGAGCGCATCTTACGGGTTTTAGCAGCAGCAAGGCTTGGGGCATAGAATATGTTATTGGCTAGGTTTGCAAGATGTTTGATGTGTGCTTCTCTTTCTGCTTTGCGATTTGTTGCTTCAGCTCGCCGGGACGCCAAAGAAGCTTCGAGAACTAGGGCTGAGGGTTTGGGATTTTGGGTTTATAGGACTTGCTATAGGCTGAGGATGCTCAAACTTGTAGAACATTCACCTGAGAAGATTAGCATCAGCTAGTCGAATCTCTCGGACTCTAACCTAACCCTACCCCTAAATCCCGAAGCTAAGCCAAGCGGCGGCTTGGTCAGCGCCAACAAGGGTATGGGCTGAAGCTCAGCGTTGGGGCCATCCCTCCCCATCCCTGAACCCAACCCTAAACCCTAAACCCTAAACCCTAAACCCTAAACCCTAAACCCTAAACCTTAAACCCTAAACCCTAAACCCTAAACCATGATGATTCGGCAAGAACACACAACAACAAGGACTTGAAACGTCGATCGGTCTCGGCACAACTCCGAAATCCCCACCACGTGTGCGAGGAGACGCGCCTTTGCAACCACAATCCTACAGGAACGTTCCCCCAACTCAGTCATAATATAGGGACCTGAATGATTTGAATAGGGTTTTGGGGGGTTATTATGGTATAATTGCAAAGAGACCCTAAGGGAACATGATTCGTATTTATTCCGACCCCTATATGATTCAAACCGGCTGGATTTAGCTGGCCGCATGCCTCCATGCTTGCAGAGGCGGTTGGGCGCTGCTTTGTCCACAGTTGTTGCTGCGTCTGCTAATGCTACGATCTTGCTCTCAAAAAAGGCAGATGGCCGATAGATGTGTCACACAAAGTTGTCAGTTCTGAAACTGGACAGCCGAAACGACTGCAGCGACACCCATGAGTTTGCAAGAGCAGCAATGGAAGGATGAAATTCCATTGGTTCACTATAACATCAATGACATGCCTAGCTGTTGCCTTCGGGAATTTTCATGAAGACGAGCACTTCGCCATTTGCGTTTTCAGCTGCCTATGGAGCTGGCCGCATCCTACCAGAGTTTGTTCAAGGGGGAGGGGGTGAAATAATGGAAATAGTCATACGGTGTCCCTTTCCATTATTATTATTTGGGAGGGCGGGGGTCCAGTATTATTATTTGGAAGGGGAGGGGGGGTTAAGAAAAATGAAGTGGCTTCCCATTCCATGTCAAATGGTTCCCCTTTCCATTGTCATTATTCGGGGGTGGTAGGGTCCATTATGATTATTTGGGGCGGTTATTACTACTAAATGGCTTCCCATACCATTGTTGTAATTTGGGGGGGAGGGGGGTGCTGGAAATGATTCAATTTTTGACTCGCAGGAAAAGGGGGTTGGGGGGGGGGGGGGGGGGGGAAAGGGGGGGGAAAAGGGGGGGGGGGGAGACGGGGGGAAATCAAATGGTTCCCATTCCACGCTTATTATGTGGATCATGCAATAATGCCGGGGCATTATTTCTTCGTGTGCCCCCTGAAGCAGTGACCAGCAATACAGCATAAAGGCCGACATGCATCTTCAGGCGATTCAGGGCTGTATGACTCAGTGGACAAGGAGCTCTCCTCATCTAAGGATGTTCATGCTGCTGAAACGAACGAAATTCAACAAACTCAGCCGTTAGGCTGTGTGCATGCAAAAGCACACTGCGCAAAGCTCCAAAACAGCTGCGACATGCTGAACTCTCAGGAAGTGAACCAGAACATCGCAGACAAACTGCGCTGTGAACTTAGTCAATACGAAGTTATATTTATTCTGGAAAAATACAATAACTGTTCGCCAGGCAAGCATAACCCCAGGCCGGAAGAGGAATCCACGCAGGCAACCGCAAGCCTAGCCTTGAAGATAGGGCGCGTGCATTAGGGAGCGGAGATCTGTTCCCAAGTGGCAGATACGGAACCACATGTTCATGAGTTCTTGCGAGGAGTCACTGTCAAGGCAATCTAGTCTTATGAGCTCTGCAACAAGGTCATCTGCAAGCACTTTGGGCCTTTTGGCACTGTCGAAAGCACGCGCGTCTGGAGACGGCACATCATCCAAGTCACCTACGGGCGACGTTGTCAGTCTAGCGTTGCTACGCTGCTACCTACATGCTCGGGCGCTAAACGTCTTGCATGGCAGCTTTGGGGTATGCGGCATTCAGCCCTTCGGGGATTTGGATCGACAGTCTAAGGGATGGCTCTGTGCTCTGAGGCTAGCAAATGCTGCCAACAAATCTTTAAGGAACTGGCTGGGCAAGAAACCAATTCGAGTACTGGAAAGCTCGTGCACGGACACGCGGATTCGGGCACAGCGGATTCGTACACTCCGCCTGACGGACTCACGCACAGGCGGGTTCGCGGGTCCGGGATGACGCGATGGATTCGCGATGATTCTTGCGCTTACAGATTTGCACACTGGAACAGCAGATTCCTGCACAGAGGATGCACTGACGCGGGCCCTGCCCCGGCAGGATTTTATAGTCGAGAGATTACCTGGCAGCGCTTGGATCGCCATTGGTTTCGCTTGAAACGCGGCAAATGCTTGAAGCGGACATTTACTCGATCCCGCCGAAGGCCCACGACAAACCCCTTAAACCCGACACCCGACAACAACCTCAAGCCCTGAATCTGAGATCGAGTGCATCCACAACCCTCGCGCCTCGGCCACCGCGACGTTTCTTTCTTCGTGGTGTGCTGTGGTCGTGGCGGTGTTCCGAACCGCTGCCAAAGCACTTCCAGCAAGCTTCGGTGGGATGGCTTTTGGCCGTTTTGGCAGGCTCTGCATCAGAGCGTGCGGAGGCGAAACAGCCGCGATCGCCATCGGCCTGGCTGCCAAAGCACTTCCGGCAAGTTTCGGTGGCACGGTTTCTGGCCGTTTTGGCAGGCTCTGCATCAAGACAAATGCAGACTCTGTCTTTGGCGGTATCACACTACCTCAGAAAGCAAAAAAAAAACGAGGCTATGACGTGCTATGATGTTCCAGCAGCAGAAATCTGAAAATTCTTCTCAAGTCGTCAGCAAGCAGCTCGAAAACGCGGCCGGCTCCGAAACCATCGGGCTTCAGGGCGCCGCGCACTGGGGTGAGGATCCTCAGGTGTGAGCATCTCCTCCTTCATTCCCCTTTTGCACTCAGAGCTCAAGTATGTAACGCTATTTGGGGTACAAAAATAAGGGACCCCCAGTATAAATCCCCAAATGGTAGGATGCCCCACTTTTTGGAGGACCTCAACAGGGTACCCTTGCGGTTTTTTAACCACTGGAACTCAGCACGCCTTTCCGCACGCAGCTAATTGGAAGAGAAAGTTTGCCATTTACTCAGGTTCGTAGGAGTTAGGAATTAACAGTCAAGAGCTAAGAGTTAAGAGATAAAAGAGGTAAGAGAGTTAAGAGAGTCAGAAAGTTAAGAGAGTTAAGAGAGTTAAGAGAGTTAAGAGAGTTAAGAGAGTTAAGAGAGTTAAGAGAGTTAAGAGAGTTAAGAGAGTTAAGAGAGTTAAGAGAGTTAAGAGAGTTAAGAGAGTTAAGAGAGTTAAGAGAGTTAAGAGAGTTAAGAGCTCAGAGCGAAGAGTTCAGAGTGAAGAGTTAAGAGTGAAGAGTGAAGAGTAAAAAGTTAAGAGTTCAGAGTTAAGACTTAAGTGTTAAGATGTAAAAGTTAAGAGTTAAGAGAATTCAGGGTTTACGGCTCGGAAGGGGGTTGTGACAAGTGACAAGGGCAACTCTTGCATCCAGGCGTCACGGCATCAAACTCAGAGTGATGCCAGAAGTGATGCCTCCTAATCTATCCTTGTAAGACAGGCAAACGGCCGCAGGAGCACTGGTCATGGATAATTCAGTCGTAGCTCCTTTCCGGACTCAAAGCACACTAGCAACCACAAAGCTAAACCCCAAACCCTAAACCCCTAAACCCTCAACCCTCGACCCTGACAAGCGTAAAGCATTCAAGGCATGCGCCTCGCAAAGCATGTCTGTTTAAAGCTCCCGAAGCCCCAAAGCACCAAAACCCTTAAAATAAGCCCCAAGGGTTTGGGGTTAGGGATTTAGAACTTAGGGTTTAGGGTTTGGGTTTTTGGGGTTTCGGGGACTTGTGGAAAGCTCTTCTAGGTATGTACAACAAATCATAGATGCCGGCCAAAGCGACATGTTGCCCACTCAAATCGCATCTTTGCGGACAAGCGAAACTCCGAGAAAAACTGCTGAAAAATCTGCCCCGAACTTGCTTACAAAAACTGCGGGGAAGCTGGAGCGAATGGTTAGATCTCAGCGGCAGCAGCACGCGCTTTTGCCACGGCATCAGTCGCATCTTTGCCGTCTTTACCTCTTAACGAGCCAACTTTGGTTATACAGCTCCGTCTTGGACTCGACAAGGAACTGCCGCCGCAGGATCACGCGTCGAGGCCAATGTTTGAGTAAGGTTCATGTTTATGGACATTGAAACCACGATTCGTTTCACGAAAATGGTATTTTGATGCATCTTGAACGAATTCTGATTGACATGTCTGGGTCTGACTTTGAGTTGTTTCACAATTGGGAACCCTCGTTAGTTCTTGTCACTTTTTTCGTCTTTCTGGGATGCCTCGGTAATTGGGGTGGTGGTGGGCTTTTAGCACGACGAGGCGTCCTGGAGAGTTCGACATTATTCTTTTGTGGCTTCGTGGATTTGGGTTCCCCGCTTTCTAATGCTATAGATATTCTTGGGCGCAGATGTCGCGTGAACCTCGTGTTTCACCATGATTGGCGGCGCAGTGTGTTTCTGGCACAAACAATGCTCAAGCACCCCGGATTCGAATAAACGAAAGGAACATCATGATGGAATCCTAAACCATAAGCCTCGACGCAAGGTGAGCGGGGGGCAAAGCCGGCTGAAAAAATAGCGCGTTTAGGGCTTAGGGTCCCGAAGAAGGACCATTTAAGATCCCCCGAGCCCAGAACCAACAAATCATAGTCCCCTTAGACAAATTCTGAGGGAATAACGAACGCGGCACTTTTCAGTGCGAATCTCTTGAAGTACACGTCACAGGTTGTAAGATTTGGGGCGCAGGGTTTCGAATTGACGTGGTCTCCGGTCTTTCAGGCTCCAGTCTTCCCCTCTTTGACAAACCCTGATCCCCACACCCGCACCCAAGCCTATTCAGACCTCAACCTTCAGACTCTCCTTCAAGAAAGATCCCTAAACCTCTGGCAGTGCTGCGGGTTGCAAAGATGTAAGGTCCAGGGGTGTCGGGCGCTGCTGCCGCTTTGGGAGACTGTCTGTCACAGAGCGGTTCTCAACTGCCAGGGCCTGGGTTACAGAGTAGGTTTAGCGCACCGCGTCCTCGCGTCCTCTACACTTTCTTGAGCGCATTTGCCAGTGCCGTCAGCCGAGCAGAAAACAGGACACAAGCCGCTCCCCCTAGAGGGGAAGATGTTTCCCCAAGTAGTGTATGAACCCTATGCAGTTCTGTTCTTACGTTTAGTGTAAACTGAATTATATAGAGTAGCGTGGCTTGCAAGAAGTTGCGCGCGCCTCTGGATGCGGAGGGATGAGGGATCCTATGTTATCCCTTGGCAATCACGCAAGGTCGTCAAGGGATGCCATCACAAACACAGGTGCTGACAGCAACCAGTCCATTGCGACAAGCAATGAAAACCTTCAGACCCCAGTGCCCAAGGCAAGCTGGTCGAGGAAGGTGCTGGAGAGATGATCCACTCGGCTGGACCATAGACCCTAAATCCTAAACCCGAACCGGGGCAAAGTCAAAGTTCGTGTTGGTATGTATTGGTGGATTTCAACGGCATTTTTTGCCATGAGCCTGAATTGGGGCAGGATCATGCTTATCTACCCAAGTGAGATTGTGGCATCTGGATTGAACACTTGCTGTCTCCTTTTCCTGCGTTGCTCGAAGCATCTCGAAATGGTGCAATCTTCAACAACATGAGCATTTCACGAACTCTATGTCATCGAAGTCTGATATCTCCTCCTCTCCAGACTCGTCATCCAACACTGCGTCACACTCAGGCGCCTCTTCTTCAAACTCTTCCTCATCAGCCAGGTCCTCTTTCAGGGCCTCTCGGAGCTTCTGTGCAGTCATGTCCCAAGACTCCTCACTGCTGGTGGTGGAACTGCTGTGGCATACTTCGAACAGGTCCCGGGCTTGTACCAAAGCGCGACCCAAGGTTGCAGGCACCCAGTTCTGGTGCAACAAGCTTCGATCAACTGCCCTCATGTCCACTGCCAGGAGGAGGCACTCGTCCGGCAAGAAATGCACATCCCAGAACCCTCGTTGTATGAGGTCGCGAGGGACGTCGCTGCCATCGTGCACGGCCTTGCGGAGGGCTTCCAACGATACGCTGTCTACAAACATGAGGTGATCAGGGTTTACCTTTGGCACCAACTGTATTCTTGCATCGTCAATTTCTTGGTGAATGTATTTGCCTTCGTAATACTCCATGAAGGTGCCCAGGTCCTTCTGCATGGTGTCTACGTTGGCCTGGCACCTGCTCTCAGATTGGTCATCGCAAAATCGCACATGCATTGTGATGGCCACCACCTTGCGCCCAGGCAGGCTGCAGCTGAATGCCGGACTCCGAGAATCGAGACGAGATACAATGGCTGGATAGATGTCTGGATGCTTCAGCATATCCAGGGCCTGCAGGCCCTTGATGGCCTGCATTCGAACAGCAGGTTCCCGGTCTTGCAAACGCCGCTTCATCGCCACCGCGGCTTCTTGATCCTGCCTGTCGAACACCCGCACCGTGGCGACAACTGCAGCAAACCGTACGAAAACGGACTTGTCACTGAGCCTGCCGAGCACTGCCGGTCGAAAGATCTGGTCTGCATCACTGACCGTGCGCGTCACGGCCTGAACGCAATCAAATCGCAAATCAGCATCACCACCAGCAAGTCACTTCAGCAAGTAAGATCGGATGCCCGGATCCGCCGAACCGATGTACTGTTTCGCTAAAGAAAAGGCCTGCTGCCTGACGCGGCTGCTTTTATGGTCAAGAAACTCACGAACAACCATACTCAGCATGGTTGTATCTTGCGCAGCCAAAGTGCCCAACGCCTTTTCGGCAGCATGTATGACACAGGCCCACTGGTCACCCAAACCTTCGATGATGGCGCGAAGCGCGGCCTCATCAGTCGCCTCACAAAGCTCTCCGAGCGCCATGAGCGCATCACTTCGTACTTCTTCGCTGCGGTCGGACCTACCGCTCCATAATGAAGTCTTGGTTCTGCCACCACAGAATGCAAGCACTGCAGACACAGCTGTTGAGTCGCCCTTGCTCGCAACGAGTGAAAGCGCCCTCATCGCAGCTCCTTTCTTTTCGACGCTTTTGGCAGAGTCCAAAATCTGCAAGATGCTGTCTCTGGCACTCTCATTGCCCCTCTGGGCAATCTTGGGCATGTGACGCAAGACTTGCTCCTGCATGGACTTCTGTCGACTCAGGCAACACAGCAGTGCCAGGACCACATGCTGTGGGACAAAGCCTTGCTCCCCAAACCCAACGATGCAATCAAGAGCAGAGATCCTAGCGTACACAGCGTCTGAACCACAAGCGATGTCGAAGTCACATCGCTGGAGACAGCACTTCGCCAGGACTTTGGCGACGTCGTGCTTTGTGACCCGGTCCTGCGTGGCAAGATCAGATATGAGGGAGATCGCGGTATGTCGAACTTCATGACTTTCATGCGAAGCGTGATCAAGAACTTCCTTGAAAGTGCTTTCATCGGGTTGCAGCTTTGCGAGACAGCGCAACGCTGCACAGCAAGTCTTCGCATTCTGAGCCCAGAGGGCGCTGCGAATGACAGTCAAGCATGGAGTCACGGGCCCAGGCTCCTGGATCACAATTTGGCAGTGCTTGTCAGAACGAGAACACCAGCTTTCATGTAGCGGCGGCAGCAAAGCGGAACCGTTCTTCGCGTTTCTGGTAGAGCTGGTGAAAAAGATGCAGTCGTCATGGAGGGATTCTACCCAGCATCCGTTGGAGCTGCCAGGGAGGCTCTGACTGCTTTGGCCAGACACAGCAGTCCACACGCCGCATGGAGCACAAAGGTCAAAGTCGCTAGATCCAGCGGATGTGTACAATGGCTCCGGCAAGGAATCGGACAGTTTGATGTACCACTTGTACTCGCTCCAATACATCACAGCACCATGCTGATTCATGTACTTGTGGTGCTCATTCACCATGTCTACAACTCGGAACTTTCCATTGATGTTCTCGTGCTGCGCCTTCTTGACAATCTGGCTCGACTTGCCTGTGCCGAATATCCACTTTCCGTTGCACCACTGAGTTCCGTGGCCCTCCACTCCCTCAGGACATGTGCAGGCCCCGCCAGAATGGTACAAAACTGCCCCTGTCAAACGGTTCTGGAACACCTTGGATCGAAAGCCAGAGCACCTGTAGAGACCGTTGAAGTCTGAAGCCCCAGTTACAAGCAAGCTTTGGTCTTCTCTGACATGGTGGAGTCCGACATGGCCGCTGAATCGGCTTAAGCCTCTCCGTACTTGCTCATCCAGAAAACGCCAAGCTCCTGCATTGTGTCGGTCTGGCTGCCTGTCCTGCAAGCTCCGGGAGCGATGGGCTGTTCCATCCTTTGGCGCTTCGCCCGCCTTCTTCTCAAGCCTGGCCTTCTCCTTGGCCACCCATGCGGCGTCAAGGCAGGGGAAGAGCTGCTGATGCATGGCGCTTTGCCAAGCTCGGCAGATGGATCTCAAGTGGAAGAGGCGGTACATCGCATCAGATCGAAAGCTCGAGCGCTTGAAGTTTAAGTAACTCACATCAAAGGGACATAGGAAGGACAGCACAAGGGACCCCACGCTGGTTTTCTCGAACATCGTAGTCGCAGGAGAAGAATCTGCGGCCCCATGTTGGGACTCCGTGCACCTCCTCTAGGGCTCGGGCTCAGGGCAGGGCAGGTCAGATGCAGCTGGGCTGACCAAGAAGCAGAGCCCTCCTGACAACCTCACAAACTCCGCCTCGACGTCACAGACCTCTTGCTCCCCTCTCATCTGTACACGGTAGGTGCCGTCTTCGTTTTCAGCAACGAATGTTGCGTGCCCGAACTCAGCCGACATGACACGCTGTCCAGCGACAAGGCCTCGGCCAGGGTAGCTCTGCTCGATGACTGAGCAAATACGGTCCCTTGGCACATTGGAACACACCCTTCCGTAGCCGGAGTCGAAATCAATGTCGAACATTGTCCCTGGCAACGCTGCCCAAACTCCAGTCCTCAAGCTCTACTTCAAGTGCGTCTCCAACTTTAAAGCTCGCTCGTTGAGGCAGAGCCTGATGCTCGTCTCTGCAATGGAGCTCGCGCTTCGCCATGACTCAGCGCAAGAGAAATCGAAGTGAATGGCTAGACTAGCTGCTGCAACCCAAGTCGCTTTCGATGCACTCCCTAGTTTGGGAAGTGACTAAACAGGAGATCTGCAGCCCAAAGCTTTCACTTCCGAAGCTGCTGAGCCCTGAAACAATGTCAGAAAAGGGTGAGCCAAACGTCAAGTGACACATACACACAACAAGCCCCCTAAACCCTAAACCCTAAACCCTAAACCCTAAAAGCCGTTTCTCCACATTCTCTTCTGACTCTTCTACCCTGGCACGCTCGCCCTGCTGCTGCAGGGACGGGCCCCCCCTCCACGCCCACCACCTCCTCCTCCCAATCGGAAGCACAAAAAGAAACTACAAACTTAAAAAAACATAAATCCATAGGAGTTTTTTTGGTGCTTTTTTGTTCAATCGCAAGAGGAGCCATAGGTTGAACACAGTTTACGCTGGCTGGCAAAGCCAAAACTATCCTGCTCAGAGGTCCATCTTGGGTGGGGGCACGAAGGTGGCTACTGACGGTTTAACCTTTGCGTGGTAACTTCAAGGCTGATGCTGCGAAATAGAACTACGGAATCTCGTGCTTGCGGACTGTCGCTCTGCGCTTTGTACGTCAGCTGAATCCGCGATCTCCCAGCTAACTCTAAACAACAACTGCCCCCCCCCCCCCCCATCGGCACATCATGTGCCAAAGCGCATGGCAAGTCTTCGGACCCCCAGAACCTCCGGAGCCCCATGGTCATAGGGTCTAGGGTCTAGGGTTTAGGGTTTAGGGTTTAGGGTTTAGGGTTTAGGGTTTAGGCTTAGGGTTTAGGGTTCAGGGTTCAGGGTTTAGGGTTTAGGGTTTAGGGTTTAGGTCCTCATCATTTAACTCTACCTCAGGAGGTTTCTGCTTGGATGTAGCGAGCTTCTTCTGTGGGCGTTCCATCTCCATTCTGCCCCTGACTTTTAGGGTTTAGGGGTTAGGGTTTAGGGTTTAGGGTTTAGGGTTTAGGGTTTAGGGTTTAGGGTTTAGGGTTTAGGGTTTAGGGTTTAGGGTTTAGGGTTTGGGGTTTCCAACCCTGAGCCTGAAGCCCTACTATCGGGGCCATTGCCCCCCCAGCAGAACGCACCGCTCCTTTTCCCCATTCCCCTGTGCGAGGCCATACTCCAGTGTGCCGTCTTCGAGGCATGCGTCGTGGCAGTTTTTCCAGTCTTCGTAGTAGTTCCACCCGCCTCTCCAGGGCATCTGCTTTCCCACGCCGGGTCTGCGACGCCACGCGGCATCTCGCTTGGCATAGTTGGGGCCCTGCCACGCAGAGTCTGCATATCCTTACTGCAGACATCACTTCCACACTCAAAACCCTCTATTTCCCCCCGGCATTTCGACGAAGCACTCCATAAGATCCAGGCGTCCGGCAGACGACGTGATGAGCCCCAGCTGGGGGCACGGGTCCACGTCCTCCTCGCCACCGCGCCAGCGCGGGACGACGTGCGCGAAGCCGCGGGCGTCCATGAGCTGCAAGATGCGAAGCACGAGTGGCACTTCCGCCTCGAAAGCTTGGGGGATCCCCCCTAATACCCTACTACCCTAAACCCAAAACCCCCCTAATACCCTCAACCGCTCAACAACTCGGAGTGCAACTTCCCGGCTCGGCCTCAAGCTTTAACGGCGAAAGGCCCTGAAGGAGCCCGGGCCTCCAGTCGCAGGGTGTAGGTGCCCTTGAAGTACCCAGAGAAGTTGAACAAGTTCGGCACCTCGGGTGGCCAAGAATCTCGCGGCCGCCGAAGGGCTTCCGGAAGGAGTCGGCTAAGCATAAAAGGATCGTTCTGGAGGCCTGGAAAGGCTTTAGCTTCTAGCAAGAGATTCTACCGAGTCAGGGTCCATGTTCACCCGACGGAGATTCAACATAACTTTCCAAGGGTTTAGGGTTTAGGTTTAGGCAAAGGATGCTAGGACGAGGACCCCGCAAAGTGTCCCGCTACTAGGTGGGTCAAGATGGACTTTTCTTCGGGTATCCATCCTTTAACGTTTGGAGTCCTAACCCATGCACCCCAAACTCCAAAAAATCAATCCACAAACCCATGGATAAACATAAACCCCAAGAAAACCTAAACTATAAAACTTGTATTGTGGCAACTCTAAAATCAATCCACAAACCCTTGGGTCCAAAACCCGAAACCCTGAACCCTAATTTAAACCCTAAGCCCTAAGCCCTAAACCCTAAACCCTAAACCCTAAACCCTAAACCCTAAACCCTTGGGTCCAGGCGCATCGGACACCATGAGGCCCCCTTGGTACGCCATCTTCTGACCCAGCTTCTGCGGGCATCCATCGACCAGGAGATCGACATCTCCTCGTAACCAGCAAAACTTCGGATTCTAGGGTTTAGGGTTTAGGGTTTAGGGTTTAGGGTTTAGGGTTTAGGGTTTAGGTTTTAGGGTTTAGGGTTTAGGGTTTAGGGTTTAGGGTTTAGGGTTTAGGATTTCGGGTTTAGAGTTAGGGTTTAGGGCTTAGGGTTCCCAGAAAAGATAAACAAACGGGTCCCTCATTCGGGGGTCCTTGTAGTAAGGACTTCTTGCCCTGAGGATCCTCCCACGTGGGGCTCTAGCTTGGAAATCCCCTTAGTGCCCTTAGCAGGAGTCTACTATTTTGGGTCCTTACCCTAAACCCTAAACCCTAAAATCCCACATCTCCTAGTAGGCTCAGCTTGTGCCCCGTCGCAAGAACCACGACGTCGGCCTCGAACACTTGGGGTTTAGAGTTTGGGGTTCAGGGTAGGGGGCTGAGGAGTTATAGGGTTTAGGGTTTTGTTGTATGCGGCTCAGGACCGGGATCCCAAGAGTAGGACCCCGTGACAAAGGGAGTTGATTGATCAAGGGATCTCCAAACCCCCTTGAAGAACCCCATGAAACCTTCAACCCTCAACCCTCAACCCTAAACCCTAAACCCTAAAACCCTAAAACCCTAAACCCTAAACCCTGAACCTTTAGGGCCTAGGGCACTTGATATGACCTTCTGAAGCATACGGGGCCAAATAACTACCAATGCCATGTCGGGGTTCCTTCTTACATCTGTAGTATCCGATACCCCGAAGCCCTACTCTAACTATCAAGGTACCCTAAACCCTAAACCCTAAACCCAAAACCCAGAAAAAAAAAAAAAAAAAACCTAAACCCATGAACCCTAAACCCTAAACAGGTCGTGGGCCTCCAAGTGTTCCGGCATCTCCGCCTCCCCGAAGCTCTCTGCGAGCCGGCTCTCGGTTTCGGAGAGCCGCTGGAGGCGAATGCCCGTCCGGGTGAAGCGGTCGATGTGCCTGATAGGCTTAGGGTTTAGGGTTTAGGGTTTAGGGTTTAGGGTTTAGGGTTTAGGGTTTAGGGTTTAGGGTTTAGGGTTTACGGTTTAGGGTCTGGGGTTTAGGATCTGTAGAGTTTCGGGCTCAGGGTTTGGAGTCTAGGGTCTGGGTTTACAGACCATATTCTGATCCCATGTAGTGATGTAGCTGACATAGGGGGCCCCAAGTCGTTGGACCCGATCCCGACTTCTTCCGGGTTCAAGGCTTTAGGTTGCTGCAAGGTGTGTGAAGTTTCGGGGGCAAGCTTTACAGTTTAGGGCTTTTCAGGTTCAGGGTTCAGGGTTCAGGGTTTAGGGTTTAGGGTTAAGGGTTAAGGGTTTAGGGTTTAGGGTTTAGTCAGTAAAGCAAGGCGTGCAAACTCCGGCAGGGTGCGCTGTGACGATTCTGAGGCGACCTCGCTGAATGGCCATGAAGAACTCATCGCCGGGAGCAAAGCACGTCCTCTGCTCGAAAACCTTCGGTCGGCTCCGCAGAAGCACACTTCAAAGCTGCATCCAGTTCTGGTGTTGGGATTTGCTTAGCCTCAGCCCAACAATCTCTGGGAATTCATGAGGCTTTAGCGGCAGCAAAGATTTAACAAACTGCCAGCGACACCATTTTGACACTGTAAGCCCTGAGACTGTTGTGTCCTAAGCCCGGTTAATCTTGAACCCTGCGACTCCGAACCCTCAACCCTAAACACCAAACCCTAAACCCTAAACCTTGCACCCTAAACCTTAAACCCTAAACCCAACCCTCAACCCTAAACCCTGACCCTGGGCCCCGAAACCTACACTCGAGCTGACCACAACGGTTGACACAGGGGCTCTTCATTCAGAAGAGCGGCTCGCCTCCCCAAAACCTTTAACCCTAAACCCTAAACCCTAAACCCTAAACCCTAAACCCTAAAATGGCCTGGTAAGACGGAGTGAAGTGGCGGCGCAACTCAGGGAGGCGGTCAGCGACGGCATCGACAGCGGCACGACTCTCACGCGAACGGGCTGCGAGTGCCTCGCAAACGGGTTTAGGGTTTAGGGTTTAGGGTTTAGGGGTTAGGGTGCTGAAGAAAGAAGCTGTTTCAGGGGTTTGGCTCAACGATTTTGAGGATTTAGGGCTTAGGGTCTAGGGTTTCGGGTTAAGGCCACGGTTCGCACTATGCTGCACACCGCACCTTCCACGCAATCTCAACACCAGCCCCCAAGTCAACTCTCAAACCACAGAATCGATCTACTGTTTAGGGTTTAGGGTCTAGAGTTTAGGGTTTAGGGTTTAGGGTATGAACCCTAAACCCGAGGAATCGAACACTTGGTGGTACACTTCCCATCGACTCCAACATACCTCGAGAAAGGACCCTTCAAGTCACAAAGCACTTCTGAAGCCCTTGTCAACCCCTGCAATCCCAAAACCCCCCCCCCCTTTAGAAGCCTCAGAAGCAAAGCATAGAACCCAGAACCCTAAACCCTAAACCCTAAACCCTAACCCTAAACCCTAAACCCTAAACCCTAAACCCTAAACCCTAAACCCTAAACCCTAAACCCTAAACCCTAAACCCTAAACCCTAGAGCGCCTCGGGGCAACCCGCGCTCCAAGCGCACCGCTTCTCGTTGTAGGCCTTGGCCTCCCCCAGGGCTTCGCGGCGCAGCCGTCGGAAGATCAGCGAAAATCTTGGGTCGGGATGGAGGGTTTAGGGTTTGGGGTTTAAGGTTTGGGGTTTAGGGTTTAGGGTTTGGGGTTTGGGGTTTGGGGCTTGGGGTTCAGGGTTTGGGGTTTGGGGGTCGGGGTTTGGGGTTTAAGGTTTAGGGTTTCGGGCTTAGGGTGTAGTGCTCAGGGCCTAGTGGTTTTGATTGTGCTTCTGTGCCTGATGGCTTCACTAGTTTGGCGAGTTTCGTCTGAAAGCGCTAGGCTGGCCAAGTACTTGGAATGGTTTAGAACTTAGTTGGGGGTTTTAGGGGCTTTGGGTTTGGCTTTGGGGCTTACAGTTTAGGGTTGCGCTGGGTAGCAGGCACCGCCCCAGCCATCGGAATACGCCTCCGGCTTTCACCAACCAGGCGGCAATGGACCACGCAGACCACGGCGCATGACCTCATGCTCGAATCAAGCAACTTCCTCGCTTGATGCACATGTATTGGCCACCAGGAAGCTACCGCTGCGGTTGAGACGAGGGCAGCTCACAATTGGGCATAAATACTGCATGGGCAGAAAGGTGCTGGGATCCTTGACTATGATGCCAGGCACATTCTTCAACTAAGGATCCTAAGCAATCCCTCAAGACCCCGTCAAAACAAAAAACTACAAATGTGGTGGCGTGGTTCTCGTTGAGTGCCCAGGGGCGCAGAGGTGCCGACTTGATATAGCTCGGTGAGCGCTGCAGCATCACCACGCTCCGGGACCGTTCCGCCAAGGCAGGCGCAGCGGTGACCTGGGCAGGGCGCAGAAGACAGGGTCGGCCCCCAACAAGAGACGATCTGAATAACATCGACTCTGAGCATAGAGCCTCCTTTCTTTAAAGGCCCTTTACTATACTTTCAAAGGCCTTCTCATGACAGGGACCCTTTTGTTCGGATCTCTATACCATAATGTTCTCTTCTTAAAGGGAAAGAACCCTAAACCCTAAACCCTAAACACCCTAAAACCCGACACTCCCGAGAAAAAGGCCCAGCCACTGCCGAGGCCCCACTGCCCACGAGGATGACTCGCTTGCCTTCGAGACTCATGTCCTGCTTTGGGTTTAGGGTTTAGGGTTTAGGGTTTAGGGTTTAGGATTTAGGGTTTAGGGTTTAGGGTTTAGGGTTTAGGGTTTAGGGTTGAGGGTTGAGGGTTTAGGGTTTAGGGCTTGGGGCTTAGGGTTTAGGGTTTAAGAGCAAGGGGTCAACTCATGAAGGAACCCTTCAGGAACCTTTAAAGGAACCTTTAAGGGGACCCCGTTGTGAGGAACTCATATGGGGATGTTCAGAAACCCGGGACCCTTCAAGTGCCTGTAACCCCCACAAACGCGTTAGGTGAAACGCATGGAACCCTGTACGCTAAACCCTAAACCCTAGGCTCTAACCCTGAGCTTTAGCCCTTCAGCCCTAAGCTTTACCCCCCCAACCCTAAGCCTTAAATTGTAAATAAATTGTAAATGCCAAGCTTTCTTAATCCTCCAGTTTCACTTTGTGCCCTCTTATCTTGCTGAACACCTCTTTGTTTGGAGGTGGGCCTGAGCCCTTCACCCTGCGCCAGTCCTCCGGCCAGGAATGCGTGTGCACCAGCTTCCCTGCAAAGTCTGCCATGCCCGGGATCTCTGGGATGTAGGGATCGAAAAGGTCGAAGTAACCTTGGGCCCACTTTAAGAACTTGAAGCCCCCGAGTTCCCAAACGCTGAGCCCCGAAACCCTCAAACCATCAAGCCCCAGCACTCATGAACCCATCTGAAGCCCTTCGGGTTTAGGATGTAGGGTTTAGGGTTTAGGGTTTAGGGTTTAGGGTTTAGGGCTCGTCAGCGCAGCTGGCGCCCTAGGCAATTCGCCACAGGTGTGGGACCCCTCCTCCCCCCAGGAACCCACCCAAAGCTTCAATCATTTTTCTAAACTCGATTTCAGTTTTTCCTCTCTCTTACACGGTCCCCCACCAATCCCAGATTTTCTAAACCCGATTTGAGTTCCGAGCCTGGGAAACCCGCCCAATGGGCAACTTGAAGGATTTTGGACCCTTTTCTGACCTTTCCAGACCTCCCGGGGCTCGCTGTAAACGGATTTGCTTGCAACGCGCCTTCTGGAAACAATTTTGTGTTCTTCCGTGTTTTTGGGCCTCCCGGACAGGTCCTGCGGGTCTTTGCAGCCTCCAAAGCCCTTTTAACATCATTCTTGTAGAAATGTGTTCCGCATCCCTTTTAACTACTTTTTCAGATTGCGGCAAACCTGTCTACAGACCTTCTAATGAAAGTCGCTATAAGAACTGCTTCATGCAAAAACGTCCCACTCAGAGGCCTCAGAAATGCCACGAACACGAAAGGCGCACATGCACACAGATACACGCAAGTGACGACGCACACTTAAACCGCGCGAAGACACTTCAGAAAGCACAACGTGCAGCAAACCTAAACGCAGACACTTCAAGCAGCTAAAGGTCCAGACAAGCGATTCCTCATCAGCACCTTCCGCCTTACGTACAGATATATATATATATGTGTATATATATATATGATATCTATATAAATCCTTGCGACCACAACAAACAACGGGAATTGAGCCCCAAACCGCCGCAGATTCACCGGGCTCATGAACCTGCAACACACGTAGACACACGACGACGCGCAAACCAAGCACCACGAATCAAGCCCTGGACGTCCGCATCTTGTTCTCCCTTAGTGCACCATCACAACGCATACACAACACACACAAACCAAGCAACATAAACCGAGCGCCAGACGACTGTCCGATCAGCCTCCACATGCAGGCGTCCACGAAACTGTCAAGATACTTACTACGTAGACGAACAAATGGCCAAAAAGAAATGATGACACTGAAGAAGAAGTCATAGGCCTTTTTGCGCTCCAGTCGCCAGCTCACCTTGCGTGCTCGTGGACAAGTCACGAGTAAATATACGCACAGTACCCTCAACTATACGCACGCAAATCGAGCTGCGGAGCATGCGACTGAGATCGGAGCCATAAAGCCAACGCAAGCGGACACGCAGGCGGCGAGCATCAGCATGGTCAGGAAGAAAGAGAAAGAAAGAGGGACGCTGTATGCGAAAATGCATGGACTGTACACGAAGGTGCCAGACCCTACTAAACTGTAAAACTAAGAATAAGTCTGGGCGTGGAGATGCATTTGCCGCAATGCGGATGTGCATTCCATGAGTGCGGATGTGCATTCCATGGGTACGGATGTGCATTCCGTGGGTGCTGCATGTGCATTGCGTGACGAGTCACTAGACTCAAGTGTTCTTACGAACAGCTCGAGTTTGAACCAAATGGAACGGCAGCACATGCACTGAACACCGAACCTCGTAACTAACACACCAAATCGCCAGACATTTGCATCACAAGCAAAAGGCTGTTACAAGTCAGGGGTCTGAACATCAAATCTTACATTTCCCACCGTAAACACAGGAAAATGCAAAGCTTTGCAAACATCGACAACCAAAGCCATGTCACTGTTTAGGGTTTAGGGGTTTAGGGCTTCAGTGTTTAGCGTGTAGTAACAAACAAACCCCTTACAATTAAGTAAACAAGGCATTTAGGGTTTAGGGTTTAGGGTTTAGGGTTTAGGGTTCAGGGTTCAGGGTTCAGGGTTCAGGGTTCAGGGTTTAGGGCTTAGGGTTCGCCAGCGCAGCTGGCGCCCTGGTCAATTCAGTGGGTAAAGCCCCCTCTCCCCCCAGGAACCAACCTAAAGCCTTCAACTTTTAGGGTTTAGGGCTTAAGGGTTTAGGGTTTATGGTTTAGGGTTTAGGGTTTCGGGTTTAGGGTTTAGGGTTTAAGGTTTAGGGTTTAGGGTTTAGGGTTGGGCTTTCCTGTCCCACACGGTCCCGCCCCAGCCCCGTATTTTCTAAACCCGATTTGGTTTCCGAGTCTGGAAAACCCGCCCAATGGGCAACTTGAAGGATTTTGGACCATCTTGGGTCTTCGTCAAACCTTCCGGGACCCGAGGTAAACAGCTTTGTTTACAGAGCGCCCTATGGAAACAAATTTGTTTTCCGTGTTTTCTGGCCTCGAGAGTGCGTAAAAAAGAGGCCTGCGGATATTCAAGGTAAGCCCCCCCCCCCTCCCCCCCCCCCCCCCTTCACCCAACAAACCCCCTCCCCCTCCCCCCCCCCCCCCCCCCCCCCCCCCCCCCCCCCCCCCCCCCCCCATGCTCAATTCCACATTTCCTCTGCCATGTTTGGTAGGATTCCTATTGCTTTTATTCGGAATCCTTCTAATTTCAAGAGGATTTCTATTAATGTAACAAGATTTCTATTTGCCTTCTTTTTTCGTAGCATTTCTAATCGGACTTCTACTAATTTTTAATAGCAGTTCAATCAATTGTAATAGGAGTTGAACTTAATTCGACAAGGATTTCTATTATTTCAATACGAATCCCGTTAAACCTAATACAAATCTTATTAGAAGGGATAAAAATCTCATTCATATTATTAGAAATCTTTCACAAGTAACAAAAACCCGATTAGAATCAAAAGAAGTCCTATTAAAACGTTAATTAAAATCAAGTGAAACCCTATTAAGAACACTGTTATTGACCAAGGGGGGGGGGGGGGGGGGGGCCCCCCCCCCCCCCTTGAACAAGAGGGGGGAGGGGGGGGGGGGGGGGGGGGGCCATTGAACAAGAGAGGGGGGGGGGGGGGGCTGGCTTATGTTCCCGCAGGCCGCAGTGGCGCGCACTATCCTTCTTGGAGACCCCCCAGCAGGCAATTGCAGCCGGCAAAAAGCCTTCTAAACCCTCCTTAAAACCCTTCTAAACTCTTGCAAACCCTGACCCCTTCTAAACCCTTCTAAATCCTTATAAACCCTTCTAAGCTCTAAAACCTACTTCTAAACCCTGCTTAAAAACCCTCTAAACCCTTCAACATATTTCCAAAACCCTTCTAAACCCTTCAAACTCGTCTAAAGTCCTTCTAAACCCTCTTCTCAATCCTTCTAAACCCGTACGACAAAACCCTTGTAGACCCTTGAAACCCTTCTAAAGCCTTCTCAAACCTTTCTAAACTCTTCGAAACTTCGAAACCCTTCCAAACCCGTTGAAACCCTTCCAAACCCCTTGCAAATACCACAATTGGCTACTTTTCGTGGCTTTTGACCCGTCTGGGCCTCACAAACCCCAACGTAGTGACAAAACATAAGTGTTTTCTCCAATGTTTTTTGAGGCCTTTCGGCAAGGAGGTTTAAGTAAATTGAAAATATGGACCAACGAGCTTGAGGAAATCGGAGACTTCGTATGAAATTTTGTTGAAACATAGGAATTCTCGCTAGTGCCTTTTGATGCTTTTCGACCAAGAGGTTTGAATAAATTGAAATCTGGACCAACAACTTTTGGATCGGAGACTCCTTAGGAAATGTAGCTGAACCTCAACAGAAACCTTTCGTTTAACCAATATTCTGCGCTGGCGCATCAGGGCGAAGCCTCTAAAATTTAGGGTTTTGGGTTTAGGGTTTAGGGTTTAGGGTTTAGGGTTTAGGGTTGCCCCCCTCCTCCCAGGCCAAAAGCAGAAGCGATGCGGACCCAGCCGAGATACCTGTGCAGTTCATCACGTGTCGGCATGTCCAAGACACTCCAGCGGCCGTGGTCAGGGTCCATCGCGCCTGACATCTGGGGTTCCGGGGTGCAGGTTTTTAGGTGCCCGGGCGTATTGAGCTCGAACTCCAAAGCTCGAAGACCCTGAATCCCACCTGCCAAGCCCCAAGACCCTAAACATCCCCAAACCCTCCCGGAATCACCCTAAACCCTAAACCCTACACCCTAAACCCTAAACCCTAGACCGCAAAAATCAACTCTGCAAGCAGCCTTCCTCGAGTCGAACTCTGCTCGCCGGACATGCTGCTCAAAGCGCATGTATTGGGCCAGCCGATGCTCATCCACCACCTCCTGAAAGTACTCCAGGAGCTCCTTCGAGGGCTGTCGTCAGGACACAAGATTAGACCAACGGCGCAGTACTTGTGATACCTTAGAGTCCCTACATACGTATAGTACGGCCCAAAACCGGATTCTACCCACTGAGGCCTCCAAAAAACCCTGAACCTTGAAGCCCGAATCCTCCCTGGTCGGCATCATCCGCGTCGTGGTGGCCGACGGATGGAAGGAGTAGGCATAAAGCCCCATGGGCGAGTCAGTGCGAAGGCCAGGGAACTTCAGCTCTGCCTGAGATTGCGGGGTTTAGGGTTTAGGGTTTAGGGTTTAGGATTTAGGGTTTAGGGTTTAGGGTTTAGGGTTTAGGGTTTAGGGTTAGGGTTTAGGGTTTAGGGTTTAGGGTTTAGGGTTTAGGGTTTAGGGTTTAGGGTTTAGGGTTTAGGGTTTAGGGTTTAGGGTTTAGGGTTTAGGGTTTAGGGTTTAGGGTTTAGGGTTTAGGGTTTAGGGTTTAGGGTTTAGGGTTTAGGGTTTAGGGTTTAGGGTTTAGGGTTTAGGGTTTAGGGCTTCTGTGTGTGTGCTATGAAGTTTCATTATAGGCGGCTTTTTTTGTAGGTTTCATAAGGGTTTTGCAGGGCTTTTTCGGGGGTCTAGGTCACGATCAACTACAATGGCTTTAAGGGTAAGTATACGGGCAGGGTTGCGATAAGGGTTGCTGCAGGAGCCATGGGGCTTCCTGGCGAGCAGATAGGCAAAGCTGCGTCTATGTGATCCCAAAGCACCCACAAGCAGAAAGCTCCTGGATGTAAGGGTTTAGGGTTTAGGGTTTAGGGTTTAGGGTTTAGGGTTTAGGGTTTAGGGTTTAGGGTTTAGGGTTTAGGGTTTAGGGTTTAAGGTTTGGCGTAAGGACCCCTAATTGGGGACTCCATCTCTTGTGCATCTGCTCAAGCCCTGGCAAGGAGGCCTGGCCAACTGAAGCCAAGGTGCCCACATGCCACCGATGCCCTTCCGCCGGTCTAGGACGACAAAGCTCCTGGTTTAGGTTTTAGGGTTTAGGGCTTAGGGTTTAGGGTTTTAGGGTTTTAGGGTTTTAGGGTTCTAGGGTTTTAGGGTTGTAGGGTTGTAGGGTTTTAGGGTTTTAGGGTTTTAGGGTTTTAGGGTTTTAGGGTTTTAGGGTTTAGGTCCTGGATCCCGTCCACTGAGGCTCTGCATTTTGGGGAGCTGAGAAGCTAGTAGGCGCTTCCGTGAGAAAAGGCCGTTTGCGTTCACAGGCTTGGCACTGGTGACTAAGTTGGTGGTAAATGGCGCTATAAGTCGTTTTACAATCGTTGCCATCGACCCTACGAACGTCAATGTTGGCAATATGGCTGTACCCTAAACAACCCTAAACCCTAAACCCTAACCCCTAAACCCTCACCGTCGCTTGTAGCTGCTGGGACTATCACTATGGGGGCTTACTATGGAAGCTTCAAGGATCTTCACAGCTTCCCTTACTTCTACTACTGTTGCTGCTAAGTACTATGCTGCTCCTCCTTCGTCCTCCTCCCAACCACTCCCACAACCAGTACAAACAGTAGCAGTGGCAATAATAAGAAGAATAATAAAAATCAACAATAGTAACAATAATAAGTTATTATTATTATAGCAGCACCAGCAGCAGCAGCAGTTCTTTTGTCGCGAGTAGTGGTAGTGGTGGCGGCAGTCCCAAATCCGACACCCTGACTACTAGAACCGTGGGCTCCTGCAGCCTTCCGACTGCAAGCTGTGGGCCAGGAAGATGCCACTCAGCCCAGCGCCAAGCACCACCACATCGACATCCCCCATTGTGCCCCCGGAGCTTGAGGGAGTGAGTTTAGCAGTTAAAGCCTACCTTTCCCTCTGGAGAGGGAAAGGTCCTCAAAGCATACTGCCGGGAAACTGCTTATCAGGGGGTCTTGTGGGCTCTCTGGGTCTGGTGTCGTTGCTTTAAGGGGCTAACAGAATGAGGTGGGCCGGGTTTCGGCCTTGCTGGTTCAGGGCTTAAGACTCTTATAGTTTAGGGCTTCAGGGTTGCGCATGCTGACAGACAGCTCTTGGGACCAAGTTCGACACGAAGACAGCATGAGATGCGGGGGACCTGCGCAGGCACCTGTTCGGGTTTAGGGGAGGTTGGCTAACATCCTCGGAGCTTACTCCAGCAACCAGAACCGCCTCGTTCATGCACGAAACCCGTTTGAAACATCTATTCACGAATTGCCACAGAGCCGTAGCAGAGCGGGAGTTAGCGCGACGGTGTGGATAGCAGACACGAACCGCGTGCTAAAAAATATGGAACGCCAAACAAAAAATCACATGGAACCCTTACTGCAACCGTCGAATCCAAGGCAGCTTTTTTTTTGGACTGACGCCTCTTTACTACATCAGTAGCACAGTAGGCCGGTCTTGTTGGGCTCGACGTAAAGGGTGAAACAAAGTCAGCGCACACAATCCGCCAGACACACCAAGCAACCACCAAGCAAACAAACACCAAAGAAACAAAGCGAGCAATCGCGCTGAACTACTAGATACCCCACGGACTCAGTACTCGAAGTCGTCAATGAAGTCCCGGTTCACAAGGAAGCACAGAGCTTGTGGGGGAATCGCAAATTGCGACATTGCCAGATTCTCAAAACCACCATCATGTAGCCACTGGTGCGACAGCGGTTATTCAAACCGAGGTCATCAGAAGAGGTTCGGATCACGTACTCGTTGTCAAGGACAGACAACCGACACTCAATGGCGAAAGGATGTTGCAAGTCAGACTCCCTAGGGGGGATGAAAGATGTGCATATGCCCCACGGTGGTCAGCCAGTGGGGACTTAACAGCAAGAACAATCAAGGCAAGACCGGCCCAGGGCACTCCGTGGTGGTCAGCCAGTGGAGTAGCTCCGAGCACTGGGTGCTCCATTCACCTTGGCGTACAAGTGCCCACCCAGAGAGGTGTCCGCACCCGGCACAGGGGGCATATGCCCCATGGAGGTCAGCCAGTGGGGACTTGACAGCAAGAACAATCAAAGCAGGACGGGCCCAGGGCACTCCATGGTGGTCAGCCAGTGGAGTAGCTCCGAGCACAGGGTTCTCCAGTCAACCTGGCGTGCAAGTGCCCACCCAGAGAGGTGCCCGCGCACGGCCAGAGGGGGGGCGAGAGTAGCTGCAGCTACCGATTCCACGGCGAGAGTCCACAGCGAGTTACCAAACCCTTAACGCCACAGGGTTTATAATGACAACGAGGAACCTCCCAGTCCAGGCATCTCACACAAGGCCACGCAACCTTGGCGCTGGCCTGCGCATCGGCACGCATCAGGTCCCTCCAAACCCAAACCCGCGAGGTACGTCGGTAAGGAGATGGGAGGGCTCACATCACATTGGTGCCGAAGTGCAAGGATCTCCATGGTATTGCTACTTTGATCCAATCAGAGCCTTCAGGTAACATCCACGCGGGCGGGGAGCCCACTTGCCCTGCCGCAGGCCAAGCTCAGACGAGGGTGACCCTCTAGAGTCTCAAGAGGGCCAGGTTGTTCTACAAGTGGGGAATGGCTCCCTGCCAAGTCAGCGGGTGCATAATCTCCACGTAGAAGTGTCCACAGCCAGCGCGCCGAACTGCTAGGTCACCCTGTGCACTCAGTACTCGAAATCGTCGAAGAGGCCGGGAGCACAAATGTAGCACCGAGTGCGCAGGTGCGTCGCAAAAGGCGACGCTGCCAGATTCACAAAACCACCATCATGCGACTACATTCAGCACCAGCCAAGGCCGTTCACGAGAAGGTTCACAAGTCCGCCATCACAGGTGGGGCATAGTCGTGCCTTGGCACGGGACGTTGCAGGTGTCAACCTTCTTGATCCGAAGTATAAAGTTGCCCCATGGTGGTCAGCCAGTGGGGACTTAAGGCAAGAACAAAGGGTAGGACCAGCCCAGAGCACTCCATGGTGGTCAGCCAGTGGAGCCTCTCCGAGCACAAGGCGCAACGTTCTTTTGACTCACAAGAGTCTCTTCCGACGGCCAAAGCAGGCTTGACTGCTTCGTTCCAATCAGAGCCATCAGGTAAACCCAAGCAGGCGGGGACCCCACCTGCCCCGCAGGAAGCGGGAGAGTCCCCCAGTCGAAACTTCGCACTCAAGGCCAAGCAACTATCTCCTTGGCCGGTGAGGGTTGAGGGTTCAATAACCAGAATCAGACCCTCCATGCCCAAACCGACAGACGTCGGCGAGGAGATGTGAGGGCTCACATCACGCTTGGCCACCTACCGATGGGGAGGTAGTCATGTATGGCTGCTTTGACGCAAGCAGAGATATACACCCAAGCAGGCAGGGAACCCCGCAGCAACCCAAGCACAGGCGAGAATGGCTCTCGTGAAGGCCAGGTTGTCCACAGGTGCTCGATGGCACATTGCCAGGGAAGTGGAAACCTGATCTCCGCGTAGAAGTGTCCACAGCCCAGAAGCAGCATCCCCTAGCTGGTCTCTCCCAATTGGCATGACGCCGTTGTACGACACGGGGGTGTCACCGTCCAGACGAGAGATGGTCAACACTCAAGTCCGAGGGGTTCACACACGGTCGTAGCACATAGAAGCGGGCAACCAGCCCACCTAGAGGGGGCAGAGGAAAGGAAGATTGGCCGTTTTACCGAGGACAAAGCTGGAACATCCAGGCAGGACCGGTCCAGGGTAGTCCGTGGCCGATGGCCAGTGGAGCAACCACGAAAGAAAGGCCCCCCGTTCTCACAGGCACACCGCGGGGCCGACCCAGAAGGGTGTTCACAGCTGCAAGCTGTAAGCACACAAAAGACAAGCACGATCCAATCCGTGGCATAGACCACGAGAGGGTTGCCAAACCAAGAGTATCCCGAGGTAGTCTTGCGGCATGTATCGGTGAGGAGATGTGAGGGCTCACATCACGCTAGGCAGCATGCCATGAAAGGACTCAATGGTGCGTTCGCATGGCGTCAGTAGGAGCCCTCAGATGACAGTTTGCTGTCTATTGCCAGGAGCCATCCCAGTCCGGACGCCGGGAGCGATGGCCAGCTGAGGTGGTATGGGAACGCTTCCCTCGGCTGGGCATGACCTGCATTGGAGGCAGCTCTTGCTCATCAACCCCCCACTCAGGGATGCCGTCCGGAATGGGGATACGCATGTATCTTGTCATTGAGGTTTGGGCCGCGTGCCACATCACCCGGACAGCTTCCTGGATTTGCCTGTACTGCACAACACCTTCGTCCTTATACTGAAAGGGGAAGGAGGTAACTGCAGCACGCAGGGCCGAAGGATCAGGGTCCTTGGGGGTGCCATGACAGTACATCCTAAACCAGAAGCTGTTGAGGCGCTGCTTGGTTGGATGTTTGGCTCGCATGAGCCCCTTAATGGCAGCCCAATGAGCAGTGGCTGCGTCATACCACGCATTTTGGGGACGTTGGGGCCCATGCTTGGTGGGTGTGGTGCTGATCCCTTTCCAATGCGCATCAAAGATGACTGGCAGCCGGAAAGGGGCGGAGACATCCACTTCTCGCAAAGCTGCAAGGTCAGTGGTTCGCAGCTCCGAGAAGCGCCAATCATTCACCTGTGCCTCGGGTTCGTCCTCCGCGTCTGACATGTCATCCATCGGGCAGGGAGAGCCTTCGTTAGTTTCGGAAGAGATGCTGACGACCTCCGGCGAGGTTGCTGCAGCGTTCGCTTCCACAGGCGCAGCACAGGGCGAGGAGAGCAAGCACTCTAGGGGCAACACTCGCCGTAGAAAAACAGCCATTCTGTGAGAAGTGTCAGGCCATTCCAAGTTAAAAACTGACCAAAAATGTTCAATGTTTTGGTTGGCCACCGAGGCCGCAAGAGCAAGCCGGATGGCGTCAAGGAAATGGGCAGGGGGGAGGTCCGGCCTAAATTCTTGATAGTGCCTTTGCCCAAGTGTCTGTGTGCCCTGCAGCGTGATGCCTAGGAACGTATTCAGGCTGGGCTGGGCAAGCCTGGCCGTTTCCACGTCCGTGTGCTTAGCAGCTGCGGCCCATGCCTGCAAGGCTTCTTGGGAGGCTTGGCCAGTGACTTGTGGCAGTCCACTGTGCGCGTCCATCACATATTTGGTAGTAGGGCACGTGGGACACCGATAAGCGCGGCCAGCCAAGAAGGCCACCATGGCTGCAGGCGGCACATTGATCTGCAGGTCAGTAATTTTATTGTCAGATTCAGGAAAACCAAGAACAATGGGCAGCCCTGCCGTACGCTCCAGGGGACCTTTTTGGTGGGACTCGAATGCGAGCAGAAGTGCACCCAGCCAATAATCTGGGTCAGCGTAGCTGAGCATTGCAGGAAAACTGGCATTGATGACACTCGGCAAGTCCGACACCGCAGAGAAAAGATCCGCGATGTACTGCGCTGTGGTAAGAAAGCCATACCCCACCAGGGACTCCGAAAGCCTCGCTTTGTCCAGCTGCGGGACCGGGCAATCCAACATTTCAGCAAGGTCGAAATGCTGCAATGCCCCCGACAATCTAAGGCACTGCGTGATGATAGGGTCATAAACCTTCAAATACGCTGCCGGAAACGTTTCAGGCAGATGCAGTAGCGTGTCAGCGATTCCGATCAGCATATCCGAGTCTTGCAGCTGGTTCGGTATGCCGTTCAAAAACACCTCATAGGCCCTATATGCCCGAAGCTGCTGGCAGTGTGTTGTGAGGTGTTGCGAGTCACGCAGGTTCATGTAGGGCCGAGGTTTGACATTCTTACCAAAGTGATGTCCCGCTGCAAGTGCGCGCCACATGAGATCACAGACCGAGACTGTGTTGCTCTGCATGATGGGTGCGCAGGCTGGGGCGCTGGGAT